CATAAAATTACGTTATCCTTTACAGCACTTCGATGGCTCTCTAGTTCTGTATAGGACTTAACCTAAACAAATTGAATAACTGAATAATTCACTATTAGATTCTGATATCACACATACATAGCATATAGAATATTAAAGTTATCCTTGACAGCAGTTGATACCTCTAGATCTGGTACACAGAGACTTTTAACATAAACAAATCAAACAATTGAAGTATTCACTAAATATTTCTCATACACACATAATAACATAGTTTACAAAAGTATGTCCGATAGATCTCTACAGAAGGACTTCTAACATCTAAAGGTTCAACAACTGAAGATCTCACTAAATATTTAGATATCCTTTACAGGAGTCCGATAAAACTAGTTCTGGTAAATAAAAACTTCCAATGTCAAACAACCCAACAACTGAAGGAATCACTACATGTTTATTAGAAAAGTTATCCTTTACAGCTGTCCGATAGCTCTAGCTCTGGTAGAAAGGGACTTCTACGGTAAAAAAAATATATACTAATAAACTGAAGAATTTAAGTTATGGTATGAATAGTAAATTTTCAACTTCTTGTTTCCGATAATCTATAATGTAATGGGCTATATGAAGTATGCTATTAAGCAGTCCGAATGGTATGGAATGTTATCATTTAAAGGACAGATTAAGTTAAGACGAGGTCTACATAAAGATTGAATAATTAATCAGAATAGAAATCTCCTAGTCACGTTCCTTCAAGTCGTGATGAATAAATAGTTTGTAGTAGATGATCTCAGTTATAAAATTATAATTCCATTCTACTAATATTACATCAGATTTCTCATAATTCCTCGGATTTAACTTACATTTTAAACAATAAGATATAAATGTTAAACAAGTTTCCTAACCTTTAAACAAGTCGAAAACCACTTTAATTTTATCTTTTATCATTGACAAAGACTAGAAAAAACAAAAGACGAGTTAAAATTTCATCAAAAAATACATCTATTATGTCGCAGAGAAGTATTGTTGTTTAGATCCAATATACAATAGTCCCATTAACCTCGTTAACGATTGTCTAATATTATATAATCTCAGCAAAGCTATCTAAAAATATCATCTTACATCATTTATACACATAAATCCAAGTTTGAAATAGCACAATAAAATCAAACTCCTCGACGAAATCCTTAATCCAGTTTCGAGCTAATGAAATGGAACAGTGATCTATCGCGCTAATGAAAGGGAATAGTGTTCTATCGAGATAATGAAATGGAATATGTTTTATGTTCCATTTAACAATACGTTAAACTACACAATAAGAGAGGTTTTACCTATATATTGTTTTCTGTCGATGATCTTCCGTAAAAAGGAAACTATTCACCACGTCCGAAGAATTCCAGTTTAGTCAGCAAATCAAGTTAATACTTATTACTATTCTTTGCGTGTAAAATAAGAGATAAACTATAGAATGTAATAATACCAGCAGTCATTTAGGCACCAAGAATACGACAAGCACGGAATTTAATTTCGACACGAAATCGAAACGATGATTTGTTACCCTCTGATAATTGACTTCGTCTTGTCTTAGAAATATGATGGATTGACACAAATTATATCTCAAGTTTGGTTTGAAATCAACGTATTGACAAAGAGAAAAGAAAGAAAAGATCAATCTCAATCCCTGACCCTCAACCAGGGATTCGTGAATCCCCAGGGAGTAATAATGAAATCCCCAGGGGAAATTCTACCTCGGAATTGGTTTAGAAGTTGTACTTATGATAATTAAACATTAAAAGGGATTTTTTGTCTTTGAAGTCGGTTGAAGAATTCTTCGCTCTCTATCAAAATAATGTCGAGTCAAATGGCAGAATTGCTATTTGAACAAATATACGTCATAGTGAAGCGAATTCATTTACAAATAGTTCTTGTAAAAACCAGCGTTCTCTCTTGTATGTGCGAGAAATATATCGCTGCTATTAACTGCTGTTAATTTTTTAACGCCAAAACTATTTTTAATAGGTTTACGTTAACTTTTTTAAGTTTGTTACAAAACTACTGTACGGATTTAAGCAGAATAAACGCCTTATTGTAGAGAATTATGTCACCTACGTACTTAAATGGTTACAAATAACAATATCGAGTCCATATCGGAGATACATATAAATGGCATACTTTAGAAATTTGTTCAGGTATAATTTACGACGCTTAATATATTTGTGTTCATTCTCATTAGAAAACTCTTAATCTTATATCATATTATAAGATATAAGATTAAGAGTTTTCTAATATGATATAAGATTAAGAGTTTTCTAATATGATATACGATTAAGAGTTTTCTAATATGATATAAGATTAAGAGTTTTCTAATATGATATAAGATTAAGAGTTTTCTAATATGATATACGATTAAGAGTTTTCTAATATGATATAAGATTAAGAGTTTTCTAATATGATATAAGATTAAGAGTTTTCTAATATGATATACGATTAAGAGTTTTCTAATATGATATACGATTAAGAGTTTTCTAATCATATTAGAAAACTCTTAATCTTATATTATTAGAAAATGTTTATAATGAATTATTAAAGATAACACAGTCTTTAAACAGTATCTCATCTAGATGATTGACGCCCTTCCTTCGGGAATTTTTTTTATATAAATATATGCACTGCTGTATTTTTTTCCGGGGGTGAAGTCATCTCAGTGGCTGGGACTCGTTGAATTGATTTAACCAGTCCTTATAGTAGTTGAGCTACAGTCTTTAAACTATTAAGAAACAGCACGAATGATGTCCGCTAATTTATAACATAAGGTTCCATCCTATTAGTGTATCTTATACCGACTGTTTTTATCAGATATACTGACTACACAAAATGGACTAAAGTCTGTTCAACCCAGAACTCCTTATTAAAAATCCATCCGGTCTGTTGAACAAAGAACTTCTTAATTAGAAATGCATTTGCGTCAGTCGTATAAGTATACGGGTGGAAATTCTATTGGTATCATTCTTTGTACGGGATCTCTAGAGGCTGCAAGTAAGCAGAAAGTTTGAAGAGATACTGATGAATATAAGGAATATGTAGATGTAAATATTTCTATCATTGTGTCTTGGTGGAAAAAGCACCATTCTGAATCCATTGATAGGGTAAAGTAACACGATCTTAAAGTACAAACAAACTCCCCTTAAGTGCTACATGACATCAAAAGGCTTTCAGAAAACCGGTAAGTTTTATTTCAAATCATACGTGTCTTTTTTTTATATTTCGATAGACTGGCTTTAATATTGTTAACCGACAAAATCGGTCGATTGTTTTTTTTATAAACATTTTAGATATTTCAACTAAGCTTTCAAATCATAAGCATATTTTATCGGTTATCCAAAAGAACTACAAAAGTATTCTGTTTGTGAGTTTTTCTTAAATTCTTCCTGTTGTGTTTTCTATTTTCTTCAGATGTCTTCAGGATGTCCTTCATTTCTTGGCACTATATCCCGATACAAAAGGGTACAAGCAGATTGCCTTAAAATTAATATGATTCTACGTCCTTATGAAAGATATTGGCCATCTGGAAGAAAGTTATTTTTGTTTGGCATCATCAGATGTGCTTGTCGAGCAAGTCCTTCAAACCAATCTAAGATATCTAAGAAACTCAACTAGGACTAGTTTGGTATCATCGACAATAAATTTGCATGATATCTGACCAAAATTGCTTTTACTATTTTTTTAACACACGTTGATTTGAAGGCTTAAATTTAGACAGTGAGCTGTGAACGCTATTATTGATTTAGCTTAGCTAAAAAAATCCTTTTTCTGAGACTAAAGTACGATTGGTCAAAAAGATGGCCAACCTGTCCCTTTAATGTACTTAGTATTATTGATCCATACAAACTGATACCGGTAACACGATTTGTTAAAGATAATAATACTGGCTCGACTGTTAATGACCACATGGTATCAAAACATATAAATATACCCGTTAATTTGTATGGACATTTTCAGCACTTTATAAAATGAGCTTTAACACAGGAATGAGCTTTATTGACTAGTGTCGCAGATAATGAACTCCATTGAGCCTAAACAAAAAAATAGCTCTCTAGGACACCACACGAGAACATAAACTCTATCGACAAGTCCCCGAAAAGACAGCACCCTTTTCTGTTCCTTCACATAATGAGCACTAATGATCACCCAAAATTGTTTTATCTTTATGCGGATTGAAAATTACGTATTTGATAGATATAAAATTTGGTATTTTCAAAATTAAATTTTTCCTTCACTCATGTATGTTATCTATCACGTATTTGAACTTGATGTGGAAATTTTTTGATAAGGTAATGGTCAATGTCTGATTTTACACGGCCGGGTTATTTGATATCTGAACTGCAAGGTATGCTGAAGTATTCTACTTGACTTAATATATATTCAAGTTTTATATAGACAGTTATTTATTGATTGACTATAGTTGTATACACATGTTTTAGCGCATCTGATGAATGATTGGGTACATATTCTGAAGTAGTGTCCTAAATGTTTGAGAATATGTGTCATATTACACGAGGATCTTTCCTACAAAGCAAATGAAACGTAATGAAATGGATTTCGTTTGTATGTAGCCCTACCATTTTGGAAGTCGGGAAACGTCACGCAGTGGCAATAAAATAGATAAAAAAAATCTTGAGTTCTTTCATGCTCAATATTCAGTTATTTTTTCGGTGGGTAAAAACCACCAACAATACCACCGATTTGAATTCTTGGGTTAGTTATTTCACCTCACTCAAAGCACGACACACGTCCGAAAAGCGTCAGGAAAATCGTTTGATTTATTTAGTTGTTCTCTCCTTTTAGTGTTTTATTACGCTTGTGAATTGTCTTATCTTTAATATGTTACATCGCTTCTGCTGTTGTTAAAAAAAAAATTCACGCCTGAATTGGCCCATTTATTTATCGATATTCATTTTCAAAAACTGTCAATAATTGAATGACCCATTTGTTATTAAACTCCTACATTCATTTTTAGAAAAACTGCGATGGCTCGAACAAAGGAAATAAAAACTATATGTGGAAAATGGAAGGATGGGGAATTTAGAAGACGCCTTGGGCCTACTATGTTTATTCTTATAGGATATATAGGAATGGTATGGTAAAATATTTTTTAATTTTTCAAAAATCAGGTTCATACTCAAACGGCCTATCGCGAAAATTACGCTAGCCCTCTGCAACATAATCATGAATGCAATGAATGACAGCCATAGTTTGCCGGAACTATGGCAATATTGATCACGTGATTCTTGTAGATTTAACATTAGAGGCTGGTCGTTCGGGACTACAGGTGTTTGCAAACATAGTCAATAAAAACAAAACATCTGAAAGATATGGATTCAAAATGATAATAAAATGTATAATGTATTATTGGATAACCGATATGTCACAATATAGTATTAAATACATATGTAAATATCTCTCAAAGGCTCTAAATTTAAAGATTATATTAAGGTCACAATATTACTATCAAGCTAAATTGGTAAGGGGGTAAATTTGTCGCGAGGTAAATTTGTTACATAAGAAATTAGTATTTCTCTTTCTTTACATATAAGGGATGGGGGGCACCTCCGTGTTTGTTAATCGCCTAAGACTTAATCTTGGCCTGAAGAAGCATTGTATATTTGCGAAAATTTGACTTGTGAAAACATAACAAGATTTTGACTTTTTTTTCTTATCTAGAAGTAATTGGTAAGAAGTTAAGTCGTCAAAAAGTAACTTTGTTAAGTGGTAAATTGGTCATAGGGTAAAATTGGTCACAACTTAAATTGCTAATGTGGTATATTTAGCTCAAAGTCATAGGATAATTTGGCATAAAGTAAATTGATCACAAGATTAATTGGTTGCAAGGTAAATTGTTTTAAAATCGATGGGTCACAAAGTAAATTAGCCACAAGAGAATTAAATTTTCACAAATTAAATAAGTCAAATGATAAAATAGTCTGAAAGAAAAATGACTCAATAGTAAATTTGTCATAAAGTAAATTGGACACACAGTAAATTGTTCTGAAATTTATCTGGTTACAATGTGAATTGGTTGAAAAGTATATTGGTCACAAACTAAATTTGTCTCAAAGTAAATTTATCAAAAGTAAATTCATCACAAAGTAAATTTGTCACACAGAAAATTGGTCAGAAAATATATTGGTCACACGGTAAATTGGTCGAAAGGCTAACAAATTTTGTGGTAAAATCATTGTGATGAATGCTCTACGTAACCGATTCGCCTGTGACCAAGGCGTGTTGATTTTATCATTATATTTTCGGGGAGCAGCAGAAAATCACTGGCATTTCCATGTCAATTTTAACACAGTTTAATTCCTGGCTGCCATCAGTATTAACGCGCTGTTGATTTAACTATATTTTCAGGGCTTCATTCAGGCACAGAGAGGTTCAGCATTCCTAGATATACAACTACTGACAGGATCAACTCTGGAGAAAGCGTCCTATTTTTTTACGGCAGGCGCAATGGGCGGTGTGGTTGGAGCGGTGATATTTGGAGGGCTGTACGATAAGTTTAACAAGAATCTGATCCTGTTTATTGTTCTATTAGGACTGTCAGTAACCGTATCTGTTATACCATACTGCACTGTCTACGCCGCTATGGTAGTGGCATGGTTCTGTAATACTATTTGTCTTGGTGGCTGGGATGCAAGTAAGTAAAACCATTCATTAAAAAGAAGATTAGTTATTGAACATTTCAGGAGCAATTACGTTGTTACAATTAACATGTTTTTAATGAGTGCTCGATTATCTAGTAACATACTATTTCTCAGGTTTATATCAACGTCAAATATTTAAATGTCAACAAATTACAATCATAACAACTGCGCAAGTATGACTGATATTGAACTATCATTAAAGGGGCATTCCGCTATTTGTAAAATATTTTTATTTTGACAAAAACGCCGTAAATTATACCTGAAAATATTTCTTAAGTATGCTATTTATATCTATTTATCTACTTGATCAAACTGAATTTGTTTTAAAAGCGTTGATTAAAAAACCAATTGTTGAGACTTAGGAGACACATTTCTGTACAATTAGGCGTTTATTTTACTCAAATATGTACAGCAGTTTTATATAACTCATAACTAGGTTAGAACTCTTTCAATAATAATTGAACTTTAAATGTGGCCGCTCCATCAACTTTCAAGCAGTAAATAGTAGACTATAAATGGGTGACCTACGTATTGCTGATTGGTTGTTCTCTAGGACGTCTCTATTATTAGTATCAGTTCATTAACGTTATGTTTGAATTTTAGGTATTTATGCGCCAATTTTGTGCCTTAGTTTGTTTTTATAATCATTTTATATACATCATTTATTATGTATAAACCGCTCCGCGGATTTATACAGTGTACACAGTTTTTATTCTGTTTATACATCGATAAACTAAAAATATTTTCAGGTCATTCCTTAATTAAACAGAATTTAAAGTGTAGTGGCGGCAGATGCGTAGAATTGACTGCTTTTAATACCAGGGTTGTTAAGCCTTCCCTGCCCCCTCCTACTTGAATTAAAACGAAAGCATACCTCCAACTTGTCAAAATCGAGGATTTTCTACAATATAACTTTCAGTTTTAAGGAGCCCTAAATTGTCAAAATTTTTGCTAGACAACAAAGCGCCTAAATGATCCCATCATAATTCAAACCCCAGTGCTAAAGTAAGTACAGGGACCTATTTTAAAAGAAAGCATTGGCATTATCCTCTTGTAACATTTTATTTCAGCTGCCAGTGCAGAAGTAGTCCGGATATGGAATTTGGAGAGCCAGACGTATCTGTTCCTTGTCAATTCGGGATATTCAGTCGGTGCTATTATGGGTCCGCTTGCTACGGAACCATTCTTAGTTCCCAAAGTTATGATAACAAATACTACAGTTCCCGCCAATAGTATTAACAAGCTTTCGGAAAATACAAGTGATTCGACTCAGTTTAATGAAACCGGACTCATTTACAACTCATCGTGTGGAAATTATACTCAAAATCTAAAATTAAATATCCAGTTACATTACGCATATGCCATTTCTGCGGTCATTGCGCTAGTGACGTCCCTTCCGTTACTATATTTATTTTATAAGAATTATCACCGCACTGCCGTTAAAAATTCTACCACTGACTACTCTAAAGTTCAGGAACTACCAATCCATCATTTTGCTGCAGCAATTTGCATTGTTATGGCTACTTATATCTGTATCAGTGGCATCGAAGATGCCTTTGCGTCTTTTCTGATGACTTTTGTGGTCAAACAGCTCAACTGGTCGAAAACAACCGGAGCTCAACTGTCAGCAGTCTTTTTTGGTGCTTACTCCCTGGTCCGCGCTTCGTGTATTTTCATAGCTGATTTAGTCGGTCCAAGGTTATTTTTGTTGAGCTCTATGACAGGAGTTGTTCTATGCGGTGTAGGAATAACTCTCTGTTCTGTTTACCATTCTTCTATTGGAGTGTGGATATTCATAGGACTAAGTGGGGCTTTTATAGGAATTATTTTTCCAATCGGAATCTCATGGATAAATAAAACTGTTGTGTCGGTCACTGGACGTGTGTCATCCTTTGTTGTGGTTGGCTCAGCCATCGGGAAGCTGTGCAATCCCATTATTCTGGGATATTTTATGGAAGAGTTTTCACCTCTGTCGTTCTGTTATATCATTATATTTGAAGCGTCGTTTTGTATTTTGGTGTGTTTGATATCAACTGTGTATAGCCAGAAGGTTTTATCTAAAATCAGAAAACGGACAATAGATATACAAATTACTGTCGATCAGAAAAGTGATGAATATACAATGGAATCTAATCATGAAGAACAAGGTTAATTGAGTTGAGATGATTTTATATACATTTGTGTAATATAATATCTATCATTATGTTTAGTTGATCAATTTTCGAAATATAAGCTTACGGACATACGTTATAAAATAAAAAATGCTTTCCCACGTTCGACAGTATTTACTCATTATAATCAACACAACATCATTAAAGGGATTATTAAATTTTCAATTTTCAGTCAGATGTCTGTGGTTCCTGTAATTTTACAAATAAGAAGTTTTGTCACTCATCACTAAATATGCTTTATCTCATAAGACCTTTCGCATTTAGTGAAGTCATCAAACACTTAGTTTTAGTGGAATTGCAGGAACCACAAACATTTGATTGAAAATCCGAATGGTGCAAATTAATGCTATCAGTGTCCCCGATAGACCTACAATTTCTAGAAACTTCCTCCCCATCATTTTAACTATAAGTGTTTTCAAACTAATCGGCATCATTCGACTTACAGACAACATCCTGTGCAGTCATAAAAACATGCTGCAAAATATATCCGGTAAAAATAGTGTGCTAAGCAGCTTTCGATCAATTTACACCAGCATAGGATTGAAGTAGGATGTTGCTCACACCCGATTCTATAAGATGCTAGATCGTTTTGACAATCCTCATTTTATCATCTCTCTCAGTGTCGATTGCACATAATATCACAGGTAATATATTTGTCTTTGAACTACTGTTCGTTCAAAGGGGTCTAAAACAATGAATTTTAATGTGTTATTTCTTTAAATTTAGAAATGGAATTATGGAATGGAATAAAAGACTCGGCAGTGACAACTATGATGGGTGTGTCTAATAAGCTAGGCGATGTTAGAGGCCAGGTGATCGAGAGTACAACAAACTGGGCTCATGGTAAACAGATCCCGTTTGAATGGCTAAGAAAATATTTCCGTAATCAGGAAGTTAAGCAGAGACGAATGGTCAAAATCCAAGAATATCGACGAAGGTATTCGAGAGATACCGAACAATTCGGGTCAAGTCCAAATCTAATGCAAAACATGATAGTCAAAGGAAATGGACGGAATTTATCCATTCAAGAAGACACCATAAAGGTGCCAGCTGCACGTCGATTTCGGAAATCGTCTGCTCCAGATATTCTTATCAATTCCTGTGTTTCCAGGCACAACCTGCTATCAACAGGCACTGGGGAAAAACGAAAGTTATCCGTCTGCGAACCAGCACGGAATTCATCCATAACTCAACTAGAAGAACGCAAAAAGAGCCTAGCCGGTCCATTTTACATCCGTCAATATTCAGTTCCTGAACGCAGTCTAATGGAAACCGTTGAGGTCCCAATCCGCCGAATTTCCTCTCCAGAACAGACCATACAACTAAAAGGTAACAAAATGAAGACAACAGATGTAGGCCGTTGTAGAGTTTCTATACAGGATAGCGGGCTTGAATCATTGATGATTCGTCGTGAATCTTTTGGAATTTGTGGTGAAGACTCAGAAGAGAAAAAATGTTTTACAGATTCCCAATTATTAAACTCTATAGATGCTGGGAAGTCACTTCTGGCCTCTTTAAATACAGCGCTCTTCAATCATCCTCTTCTCAAACTGAGAACCAGTGATACAGCAGTCTACCCAGAACCCAGAAAAAAGATCGACTCCATAACTGATGTGGACTTGAGGGTGAATCAGATTCAAATGACGATACATCACGAACATAAACCTAATCTACTGACAGTCACTATCCACCGAGTGCGAATATTAGAGGATACATTGGCCAACAAGTCAAAAATATTCGCTACTGTCAATCTAACATCGTCCAAATCACAGAAGAAGAAAAGTCGGAGCATCGATTGCGAACAAGCCAAAGTTTGGGAAGAAGAATTTATTTTTAAGAAAATGACAATAGCAGATCTTGAAGAGAGTAGTATTGAGATCAAAATGTATCGTAAAATGAAGTTCCCTAAATTCCCTAAGTACCACAGCAAGACTATTGTGGCCTTGTGTGACGTGAATATCAATGATTTTCTAACAACGACGAAGGATTTGGAATGATTGGTATTTGTTCAACATAAGTGACGCTGATGGATATAGATCAGCAACAATAAAATCAGTGAAATAGTTGTTTGTACCACAATGCACTTCTGTAGGGATGCAACATGAAAAGAGGTCAGTTATCTGAAGATAGCTAAACTCTGATTTACAACATTATTCAAGTTCTGTTTAGATCTCAATGCATACATGTATATTTTCACATTGATTATAAACAATTCATCTTACTCCCTTTCAGTTGACTCTGTTGTTTATTGATTGTGAGACAGGTTCCTGGAGAGTTTAAAAATATTATCTTGTAAAAAATAAGTCTTATTTTGTGTCAAGTTCATTTTGTCTAAATTTTGAAATTATTTGAAGGAATAAAACAAATCATTTAAAGACTTTTTGAATATCCGGATTTAACCCTCCTCTTCGTAAAGATAGAGACTCAAACGGTGGTGGCGTGATTATCTATGTTGCGGACACAATAAGATATAAGAGGAGGACAGACCTCGAACATTCCGATTTTGAATGCATATGGGTTGAAATATCTTTGCCGTTGGGCCTTTTTCTGATAGCATCTATCTACCGACCCCAACGATCAAATAACGATTTTCGGGACTATCTAGACTACTCCGTCAAGCGAAGCTACCATACTACTAATCGAGTAGTACAACATGAGACTTCAACGTTGACTTGCTTCAAAACAGATCTGGTCGGTTACAGGATCTCAGTTTAACTTACAATCTGACAAATGTCATTACTAAACCAAGCAGGATTTCTCAGACTCGTTCTTCATTACTGGATCCTTTTCTTGTGTCGAGCCAGGCTGAGGTAGGTTTCGCACGTTAGTAAAATATTTCAGATCACAAAAGTATTGGCTGTGAAATAAACTTTCCTCTGAACAGGACACATTCTTTTCGTAGAGAGATTCTCATCTATAAACATGGTGACTTCGACACACTAAATACTAAAAACAACGTAACAAGGTCAAAAACTATAAAAAGGTTCGAAATATGAGCAGCAAATTCTAGATAATCTCACCGATAATAATAGCCAAAATTAAAATTTTTGGAAATTCACCAATAAACTTCTACATCAGAACAAAATATCTTCAATTCCACCACTACAAAACATCGATGGTTCAGTCTCATTCACCGATCAAAATAAAGCAAATGCAGTGTATGTTAAATGAATTCTTCGGTTCGGTTTCTGACTACTGCTCAAATGATGAACTCCCTATTTTTTAAACGAAAACGAACACCAAATTTAGTTTTCCAGAGATACTCTGCTCTGAAATCGATGAAGCGATCACATGTCTCAAACTGAAAAAAGGCCTGTGGTCCGGACAGAGTAAGTCATCAACTTTTCAAACAATATTCAGAGTCGATTTTTTTCCCCTGCAAGCTATATTCAACAAATCTATAAGGGAGTGCGTTTTCCCGGACGTTTGGAAAAAGGCAACTGTTATTCCTATCTTGAAGAAAGGCGATCCATCTCTATCGTCAAACTACAGGCCATTTCTCTATTGAGAAACATCAGCAAGTTTCTTGAAAAGATACTCTTCAAACACCTGTACAACTACTTCTACTCAAACAAACTCATTTATATTTATCAGTCTGGTTTCAGACCTCAACATTCGACGATTCCCCACTTTATAGTACTATATCACGATCATCCTACGAAAACCATTTACTATCATATTATGTGTTTTTTGCTATTTTGCCTTCGATCATGTCTACCATAGAGGATTACTACAAAACTTATATCATATGGTTGGAACGAAAACCTAGCTAAATGGTTAGCTAGTTATACAACAAACAGAACACAATTGTTGGTAAACAATTTAACATCTAGTCCAATAACCCTAAAATCCGGCGCCCTGCAAGGATCTGTTCTCGGTCCATTCTTTTCTATGACATTAAACCTTCACACACGAGAACAGCTACCTATGAAACAAGAACTGTGAGCACGAGTCAACCATTACCATCAAGCGTCTAACACAGAAATTTTTTTACGCAACGGTTATCGTAAATGTGTCATCCTCTTAGCACAACCACAATTACGACCTTTGAAAGCTGATCTGTTCCGAGTGCAAGACCAGAACTGTGGCCACTTCAGTGAAGATGTCGTCCATTATCTTTTATCTTGTCCAAACTACACAGAATCACGCCAGAAATATATTTCGCCCTTTTACACGACCATAAAAATCACTTTATACTCTGGGGTGACGAAAATATATCTCCAATTCAAATAACGAATCGCTAATCTCAGATCTTTCTTTTGCGCTTTCGCCAATGTATCGAGCAAAAGATCGTTCAATGAGAATAGCTTCGATTAACATAAATACAAATTTTCATCTCTCTCATAACCCAACTCATTATTACTCATTGATACTTTCATGAAAATATAGATGAGAAACATCAAACAACATTTTTTTCACTCTCTGTACCTGGCACACCTTCCCAGATTTCTGTACAAATATGACAGTAACTTTTGCCAAATCCTTTTACATTTGTTGTAATAAAATATGTTTAAATCAATCAACATCTCCTTTTCCTCCACCAGACCACAAACAATAATATATTATAGTCATACAGGGACTTTAACAGGTTTGAATAACTTTTAATACGTATCGTGATTATTTCTGACTTCTGTTTGCATCAAATAGTAAAAGAATGCTTAACCGTATATGACGCCATTATCAAAAGCGGCTAATAATAGCATTTACAATATTAACCTCATAAAATGCTTATTTTTAGTAGAATTGCAAGAAACACAGACGTCTGATTGAAAATTGGAATCGTGAAAATTGAAGCAAATTTGTTGTTCTGTAGTATGTTAGATACGGTATTGAGAGCGTTTGATTTAATTTCTTCCCTATTTACTGATCGGTTGTTCTGTTTTTCATATGCCCTACTTAACTGTTAACTATTTCAATTGGCACAAATTACCGCACAGAGAAGGTGTAAATATAAATTTTCGATCTGTTTGCACCATAACTCCACGTAAAGTATAGTTATGTGTTTCGATTAATATTAATGTAAACTGTCGAAACGATTGAATGAAAACGTAACGGTAATATCCTATATAATTGAACCTGGGAAAAGTATCTTAAAAAATTATGATACATTGTTAGAATGTAAGAATGTATATAAAATTTAAAGTCTCAAACTTCGCCAATAAGTGTATGTATTCATCAGTTGGTCTTACCAGGTGCCATGACTAAATAATAGAATCTCTATACATCCATAAAACTAAATAATTATTGAAACACCAGGCATGTTTCAAAATGACTTAGTTTAATGAATTATTACATAGTTGTATGAATGTATTACTTATAGAGGAATTCTGTATAGTTATGACAACAAGTATTTCTACTGATGAAGACTCATTTTAACCAAGTTTACAAGTTTCAATATTTTGGTCATCTTTAAAGGTGATATACTCTTAATAATGATATAAATAGCAGTATACAAGAAATATAGAAGTAAAATAAAGTTCAAAACAATGAGTAGTATCCTAAAAAAAGAAGTAAATTTCAATACTGAATTCCATTGATTACCAGAATCGAATGTTATGAGTAAAATTTGGCAATTAGCTCATACCGTCCTCTACCTAGTTACCGAATTCCCAGGTGTATAAGATGGTATGGCATCGTGCCTGAAAGAGAAACGAGTTGCGTAGAAATTAATCATGGGTTAGGGTTTATTTTAAGAACATTCCAAGACTCTCGCTAGTTAGATTGGGTGTATTCATACAGTTGTTGTGTTCTATTTACTACCAAATTTCTCTCAAGAATCAGGTTAGTTATTTACTTTTTATCAAAAGTTACAGAAAGGGTCAGATTTGGGAGCGTAAAGAATGGATTAAGACACTCGTTAGGTTTGCTGTACAGTAAGGTAAGGAGATACATCAATTCATAGAAGTTTAGACTTTAATATTTACGAATTGGGTTAGTTATTTATCATTATGATTATAAGGGCGAATTGACCGTACGACAACACAGTGTTTATAGAATCACATATGTAAATCATTTTGTCCATTATTTGAAATATATGAATGCCAAAAAAATATATATATTGGCAGTCTTCAATTGACTTTTGGTTAATGCAAATTGCAACCACTGAAAACATTAGTATCTGGAGAAGGAATTCATTGGATTGTTTCAAATGTAATAGAGCTGTAGTCAGTTCTAATTTGTTCTATATACCTGTAGACAATTGGTTTTTCTTTATAAGAATGGGACAAGACGATGTTAACAATCTGTACTTGACATTCTGAAGAAAGTAGTTAAAATAGGTTTTACGTCGTGTGTCTAGACTTGTTCAGAAAACTGAACAGTTCTACATGAAGGCTACTTGTGCTTGAAGGTTCTGCTCTGTTTGCTTGTTAGTTCTCAATTCTTAGTTTCCCTGCTCTGTTTAGTTAAATCTTAATTACTGAATTAAGTCCTTTATTATGAAATCTTTGTCAACTGCCAATAGCGAATTTTCGCATGACATACAAATATAAGAAGTCAGTCACACATAGACCACTACAAGACAACCTTGAAAAAATAAGGTAGTTCCGCGCTCTAAAAACTATGAATATGATGCAGATGAAAACCAGACCAAATTAATTAAGATGTCGTGTGTAGTTAATTAGTCTTTATCTCTGTAGAAAAAGTCGTTGTTGATATTTTACATATAGCTTACTATCCTGACAATATTAATGTTTTTGGTTTGACATATCAACTCGACAGTCCTCTAAGAGAGCTATATAATCTGACAATTAAAGATCCCACAAAGCTTCCCATGTATTACTCTTGCAATATCCATATAGCTCACTCAGTATCCTTAACGAAATGTCCATATAGCTCACTCTGTATCCTTAACGAAATGTCCATATAGCTCATCATAGCTTTCGTTGTATCCCTCTCTAAATGTCCACATAATTAACATTGTATCCCCCTCTAATTGTCCACAAAATTAACATTGTATCCCCTCTAAATGTCCACATAATTAACATTGTATCCCCCT